CTGTCTCACCGTAGAGAAGTCAAAGAACAGTAAGCCAAAGCATAGCAATTCGGGAACCATCTGTAGCCTATAGACACACACGTATTTATGTATAGTCTGTGCACACACACACACATTTATGTACAGTCTGTGCACACACACACATTTATGTACAGTCTGTGCACACACACATTTATGTACAGTCTGTGCACACACACACATTTATGTACAGTCTGTGCACACACACATTTATGTATAGTCTGTGCACACACACACATACACATTTATGTATAGTCTGTACACACACATTTATGTACAGTCTGTGCACACACACATTTATGTATAGTCTGTACACACACACATTTATGTATAGTCTGTGCACACACACATACACATTTATGTATAGTCTGTGTACACACATGTATAGTCTGTGCACACACACATACACATTTATGTATAGTCTGTACACACACATTTATGTATAGTCTGTGCACACGCACACATTTATGTATAGTCTGTACACACACATATACACAGTTATGTATAGTCTGTGCACACGCACACATTTATGTATAGTCTGTACACACACATACACATTTATGTATAGTCTGTGTACACACACATACACATTTCTGTATAGTCTGTACACACACATATACACATTTCTGTATAGTCTGTGCACACACATTTATGTATAGTCTATGGACACATAAGCACGGGTACATACATTTATGTATGTGTATGCACACACACACCTACGCGCACACACACACACACACACAGTGTTCTGTTAGGGACCATATCACAAAATGAACAGCCCCACCTGACAACAGTCTTCCTGGACCCCCTCCTTGTAGGAGGGATTCTCAGGCTCGTCACACCAGGCTGGCAGTCGAAGGAAGTGCACTTAGAATCCATGACTATGTGCAAGTGTGTTTGGAACTGCAGACACACAGTAACTACATAAACAGATGGGCACAGCTGTGGTCCAATACCTTTATTCTTTATTTAACTTTATTTTTTGAGATTTTTGCCATAGGGCACATGTGTTTACAGGAGAGAGACAGTGAGAAGGAAAGTGAGAAATCATCCCCCAGAGGGGATGGCCACGCCCCAGTTCCTTCTCTCCCATTGTCCTGGGACTTTGGACATGTATGCACACGTGCCTTGCACGATTTTCAAGACACTGGGTCCGTGACTTGAACTGCAGTTGGCACTGGAGCCCACCACACCACCTGCTGACCCTCCAATAACTTATTTACAAGAACGCGCAAGGGCTGGGTTTACTCTACAGGCCAGAGTTGGCCTTCCCTGCCCTAAATGAAGCCTGCTGAGTACACCCAACTGCCAGGCCGCCCCCACTGCCGTCTCTTCGTCATTCTACCCACAGCTGGGCAGGGACGCCTGAGAACTCTCCCCACAAGGGAGAGAAGCTGGCAGGGAGGTTTTATCAGGCGGGGCCTATCCTTTTGAGGCATCTGTCCCCAACTGAAACTCTGTGTGTGCACGCACACGCCTGTACACACACACGTGTACACACATGTTCAAGAAGATTGCGGAAGCTCTCCGGGCCTCGGTTAGCTCATCTGTTATGGGAATGACTGGTGTGTGAGTTTATTCTGGTAGCGTCTTTTGTTTTTATATCACATTCTCTCCACCACACTCTCACCGTGGTCTCAGGGCGCAAGCATTGCGGACTTGGAAGGGTGGAGGGGTCCTGTCCGGGGTAACTTTCCTAAACGCCTCAAGCAGTGGAGGTAGAAAGTAAGAAATTATGGGACTAGCAGTTAGCGTAATGGCTATGTCACTGGACTCCCACTTAGTCTACTGCGGTTCGCGTCCCGGACCCGGTGGCTTAAAATTCACGCCGGGCACGTGTGCGTGTGTGCCCAAGATCCCGAGAGGAGAATGGAGGAGAAGGGATTGTGGCGTGGCCATCCCCCTGGGGGGTGATTTCTTGCTTTCTGTCTCTCTGTCTCTCTGTCTCTCTGTCTTTCTGGTGAGCGCACGTGCCCTATGGCAGAAACCTCTCCAAAGAAAAAAGTAAGTAAGAAATTATCTGGGCAAATGCTTGGAAAATAAATGAGGCAGGTCTAGTCCGACTCAAACGCGGAACATTTACAACAGAGAACCATGTTCCAGCTCTCCGTGGAGAGCCACGTGGGGCCAGGAGACTGGGTTCCTGCCCTGCCGCACCTGTCCGATGAGCCTCAAGCACACATGTGCTCATCTTCAGATGCAGAGAATCATCCCCTGCTGGTCCCAGCCTCACGAGGGCTGAGGTTCATGGTCATGAACATGTTTTGCAAACAGCTCAGGCTGGACACGTGTAAGCAATCAGAGAATTCGTTCTTTGGGTCCTGCACCGAGAAGCCAGTCCCCATGAAGCAATGCTTCCTTTTCCCTCTTCGTGGAGGGGCTCCTGGGGAGGGTGGAAGGACATGGTGAGATGGGAAATAATGTGGATGCTGGAGAAAAGGGAAGGCTTTGGGGGTTTCGCAGTAAGATGATCCAGTTCCGGAAGGTCCCGGCTACCCCAGTGTTGCCACCACCCCTCCTCGGCTTCCCCTGCCCCTTCCATTGTTAGAAGCCCCGGGAGCTCCTCCCAGGAGGAGGAGCAGAGGCCCCTGGGTGGGGGCTGGGTGGCACGGAGCGGGGAGGGCCACCACTCTGTGCCAAGCACGTGGTAGAATTGCTACTTTCATTTTTTCAAGTCAAAACCCCCTCATGGGCTCCCCGTCCGCCCCAGAATCACTCTTATCCTTAGGCCATTTGGTAGTTGTTGCTATGGAGACCACAAGCAAACTGGTGTGCAGATCAACACTGAGCAGTGGCGGTGTGGGGGAGGGGGAGCGGTGGGAGGGCAGGGGGCCCCGCAGCAGGGGGTCGGCCCTGCGGGAAGGGAGGGCTAGGAGGTCCCCAGCTGGAGTCTAGGGGGAGGTGGGGGCCTGAGAAGGCACCATCCTGGCACCACGCGTGGGAAGGGATGGTTCCGAATGGTTCCCTGGTGGAGAGCCCCCCACCCCCACCCCGCCCAGCTTCCGGCTTTAGCAGTACAAGGCGCGGGGCACAGCAGTGGTGGTGGGGTCCCGCTTTGGGGGCAAGGGCCCACCTGGCCAGATGACTGGCTTTGGGGGATAAGCCACTTGGGAATGGGCTGAGGAAAATCAACCCTCCAAACCCAGATCCCAGGGCTTGGCCAAGCCCCTGCGCCTTCTCCTGCTGTCCCTGCCTGGAACAGTGCTGGCCCGGGGTGGAGGGGGCATGTGTGACAATGCAGACACGACTGAACCACTGAATTCTTAGGGGGAAAAGCAGTAGCCTCCCAGCCCCCACATATAATGAATAAAATTGAGGCTTTAGTTGATACAGGGGCCAGCTGTGAAACAGATTTGGGGGGCACTTTCCCTTTTGCTAGAGGCTTCCCAATCCAGGCAGCCTGAGGCCCTGGTGAACGCTCTGTGAGCTCCATAAATGCAGCGCCACTAACCCCTCTCAGAAGCAGGGAAAGAAAAGACCAAGCTCTGGCTCCCTCCCGGGAGGCCCGCTGCTTTCCCTGGGGCCTAGTGGAGTCAGCACCCAGGTCAGGCCTGACCAGGCTGCCAAGTTTCCAGGGCGGGACTTATCCACAGAAGCTGCCACCCTAGGACAGGAAGGGCCTGTTTGGCCTTGGGGCCTGGGGCTGGGCATTCTCCACGGCACCCCCAGGCCCCCCAGCATTCCACCCTCACTGGCTCTTCGTTCACACGCCCCTTTGCTTGCTTAAGTTTTCACGGTGTGTGCCGAGTGGTCATGGGAGCGACTCAGGCTGCCGAAGGAGCCCTGCTGTCCTCCGATCCATGGTGTGCATGCCGAGGGACCAGACAAGGGACTGCCCGAGGGCCTGCCTGAGAGGCCATCTCCCTGGACTCTGACCCCAGAGGCGGTGCCTCAGGGCCAAGAGGCATGAACACACTAGAGGGCTGTGGCATGGGGGACCTCGCCACGGCCCGCTGCCACACCCCAGTTGTGAGCGTCCCCTCCGGCCCAAGCCCTCCGACGAGCCTCCTTTGCTTGAGCAGATCAGGGAGGCTTTCTGCCTCTCACGGCGGGCAGCTCACCACCTTCCGTTTCTCACCTGCACGCAAGTCTCCTGAGTGGGAGCCCGGGTCAGTGATGTGTCCCCCTGAAGCCACCGACGGTCCACCGACGGTCTTCAGAGCAACACGTCACTCTGGTGCCTAGTGTTGCCTTTGAAGGCTTGGAGAACATTCCAGAAAGATGGAGGTGGCCACAGGGCCAGGTGCTTTAGCCTCTGGAGGGGCTGGGGACCGTGCTTGGTCCTACTTCCTCGCTCACAGACAGCAGGGGCGTGGTTTGTCAAGGACGCACACAGAGTCGCCTCAGAACCGGACACTGCCCCTGAAGTGTGGGCCTGGGAGGTGCTGGCCCTCCTCAACCTCTCCAGAATAGGAAGCGGCTGCCGGAGCCCACTGCGCCTCCCACGGGCGCTCCGCCTAGTCCTGACCCCAGCACCCGCCGCAGGCAGCTCGGCAGCTTGGGTTCTCCTTGCCCCCAGCATCCCCACTCCCAGTTTGACCACAGCGTTTGTGCTGAGTCCCAGGTATGAAGTAGCCAGTGGCCCCCGCACCCCACCCCACACGTGCCCACGGTAATGCTGAACCCAGAAGCAGCTCTGCGGAACCCAGAAGCAGCTGAGGTCCTGAGCTGGGCTGCAGGGAGGCCGTGGGGTGACCACCCTGATCACCAGCGAGATGAGGCAAGGGGAGGGGGCGAGAACCAGGGGAATGCCTCCCTTTGCAGCCAGAGCCTGGGGCACCCCACAGTGTCCCTCCCTCCTTCCCAAAGTGCCTCTTCCTCTTGCTGCATCCCCACCCCGCAGCCTCATCTGTGAATGTCCCATCTGGCCAGGCCCCGGTTGCTTCTCCCTCTCCCTCCTGTCCCCTTTCTGTAAATGCATGCCCTTCTCCCAGTGGCCCTGCACCCCACCCATGATCTGGGCTCTCCCCTTCCTCCTCTAGGCTAATAAAACCGAGGAGACCAAGCATTGGGAACGCCCGACCACACCGACCAGCAAAAGGAAGGCGCTTCTGGGACTCGGAACCACCGCTTCCACGGTTCCCGCTATGGACGGATGCCAAGGCAAGGCGTGAGCAGGCGAGGCACTGTGGCCAGGGGCATGACGCGGTGGCCTCGGCTAGAGCGGATCCTGAAGCCCTTGGCAGCCCCTGGCTGTTAGGCCAGGCCATTGGTGAGAACTAGAAAGATGGAGGCTGGCCAGGGTGGGAGGAGGATAGGGCAGTGGGGCAGCGGGGCTGGGCCTAAGCACCGTAGTCACCCGAGAACCGTCACCCTGACGGGAGTGCTCTGTGGCAGGCAGCCCGAGTCAGGCAGGTTCCTCAGGGTCAGAGGGGCTGGCCTCTGAGACTGACGTTGTGATGACGGTCACCGAGCGAGGCCGGGGGAGCAGTCGGCACCAGGAGGAGGAGATGGTGGTCACCGAGCGAGGCCGGGGGGCAGTCGGCACCCAGGAAGAGGAATTCTAACTGGGTGCATAAGCGGGCTGGGTGGTGAGGCGGTTAAAGTGCAGACCTGGGGATCAACTGCCAGGTCTTTGTGCAGATCCCTGCTCTGCGAGGACCCTGGGACAAGTGGCTCAAGCCCCTGGACCTCTCCCTTGCTAGCCTGCCGCCGGCACATGGCCTAGGACCCACGTTGCGGCCAGTTTCTTAGGCTTCTCGGCCCCACCTCCAGTGGGACCAGGACTCCCAGCACAGAAGCGTTCAGCAGCCCATGGCTGAATGACTCACAGGACCCTGGCAAGGACACCAAAACCCATGGCTCCACCACAGACTTGGAGCTGCAGGGCTGAGCCAGTGGCCTGTCAGCAACCGCAGGAGGCCTCTGGCTGAGAAAGATGGGGCGGAATGCTGGGCGAGGGTCAGGGTTTCGAGATTTTTCCAAAGGGAGATGGCACCACCTTGCTCAGCTGCAGCAGGAGTCTGGAGACGGGGGCATAGGGACGCCTCTGCTGAGGGCCTTGCCTGCTTGGCAGGTGACCCGCGGCTTGGCTCTTGTGTGCCAAAGGTGGCGACAGCAGCAGTGTTTGACAGCTTGGGACGGAGTACTTCATGTTAGACCACCCAGACCAGCTGCCACCACTGGCCTCCCTGGCAGCAGACAGGGTGGCCAGCCTCACCAGCAGAATGTAAGCAGCACTCAGAGCCTCAGAGGCTCCCGGGTGACAGAGGCGGGACAGGTGGCGTACTCCTCAGAGGCCGACGTGTCCTGTGCTCTCTTTCAGAAGAGGGGATAGAGTAGAATTCTGAACACCCCGAGCTGGTCCTGACCCGGAGGCAGCATTCATCATTCCGCCCTCACAACTGCCGCTGCATTTCTACCCGACAGAGCAGGAGACCGAGACTGGCTGGTGGCCACTTGCCCAAAGGCATGGGGCTGTCAGGTGGCAGAGCGGCATTTGAACCGAGGCCTGGTTTCGCCCAAGTCCCTGAGCCGTGTGCTCTTCATGCTTCCTGCTCGTAGGACTTCTCCATCCGGGCCGTGGGAAGAGCAACCACCACATACGCGCGACTGGTGTCTTCGTGTTCTGTTTATGGTAGAGAAAACGGCTCAGGACCTTCGTTCTAACCCCACACGCACTGACAGTGCAGCACGGTGGGCGGACAACGTGCCGGCATGCTGGGGAGGGACACAGCCCAGACGGAGGCGCCTGTGCCACCCTGCACGGGGTCTGCAGCCATGCCTGGGGCAGGTATTTGCATAATTATCATCTCACTTGCCCAGGTTACCGGATTCACTATCGCGAGACTTCAGCCCCCTGCAGATTGCTCCATAGTCTTTCCCTGCCGTGGTCCCTTTCCTGACAGCTGGTAGGCGGTGAGTTCATGGTGGAACATCTTTTTGCACAGGTCAGTTCCTGGGGTCCTTAGCATACCCCTGAGCAGAGCACAGGGCAGACGTTGGCCTCCCTGTTTTATAGACCAGGGAGGAAGGCCAGGAAGCACCCCGGAAGGCCCCGCAGTTAGTGAGCAGGGCTGCAGGACAGGCCTCGTGGGCCGTTCTGCTCCTGAGCTGGTGTCCTCAACAAAGGCCTCTTTATTTTTATCCTGATCTCACCGCCCGCCTGCACAGGCTCCCTATTTTGGAATATGTTGCCAACGAAGCTGAACGTACCGAGTGACTGTGCTGTGTTTCCCATTCTTATTAATCAAAGACACGTGCACCTGCCGTTCACGTCCCCTGAGCAGCATCCAGCCTGGGGGCAGCCGGGACTTGAGACTTGGACTTAGTCTGGGAGGTTCGCTCGACATCAAAGAGTCTTACTAAGTGCCAGGCGCTGTCAGAAGTGGCTAAAATGCGTTGGTGAGCAGAACAAAGGCCCCAGAGCTTCGATGCCGGCAAAGGGAAGACGGGAGGAACAGAAGCACGGAAGCAGCAGACGCTCTGTACACAGCCGTGCGCAGCGCAGCAAGGGGGCTGAGAATGGGGGGGGCGAGCTGTCATGTAAAACAGGGATTTAGGGGCCAGGCAGTAGTGCAATGGTAACACGATGCTCTGCAGTGCTGGATCCACAGAGGATGGCCCCAGGTTCACGTCCTGGCCCTGGTGCACGCTGGGTGGTGTCTGTACGTCATCCAGGCGGGCTGAGCCCAGGTAGATCATGGCATGAAGACCTAATGGGGTGCCTCTCTCTGCCTTTCTCTCTTTCTCGCTCTGTGTCATGAAAGAGGTAAATATAAAGTTAAAAATAAAATAGCGGTTTAGGGCAGACCTTTAGAGACCCACAAAGATATTTAATTGGCATTTAAAATATTCAACCCAACCTATAGACGTTTATCTTAAGGAATCCCAAGTTAGTAACCACTGGACTAATAAACCCGCTGAGCCTGGAGCTGGTGGAACATTGAGGGAGACTGAGTTTTTGGGGGTCGCGATAGCCTGCTCGCTGCAGGTGCCGGGTGGGCTGTGGGGGAGGCCACGTGTGCCACGGCACCGGGCCTCTCTCTGGGTAAGTCGTCCCAGTCGTGGATGTGCACTGCAGGCACAGGCTCAGCTGGCCAGGACGTTGACCCAGCACAGCCCAAAGCAGCAAAACCAGAGGGAATGACTAAAAGCAGCATGGGAAGTCGATTTCACTCCTTGTACCAAATCTGAGTGACTGCCAGAGTCTTCCTAAAATTCTCGGCTGAGGACTGGAGAGCTTGCAAGGGCTCTGTGAGCCAGAGCACTGTGATTGATTGGTAAGGCCAACTGCAGACAGGGAGGTGGACGGTGGCTGCGGCTGGTCGTGATTTGTTGACCCTAGTCTGATCGGTCACCTAGGAAAGGTGCTCTGGTCTTTTTATTTTTCTCTTTTTTAAGAGTTTGGTATAGGGAAGAAGCCGCCA